ACTCGGTTTGGGACGATCACTGAATATAACATAGATGTCAGACTCGGTTTGGGACGATCACTGTGTATAACATAGATGTCAGACTCGGTTTGGGACGATCACTGTGTATAACATAGATGTCAGACTCGGTTTGGGACGATCACTGAATATAACATAGATGTCAGACTCGGTTTGGGACGATCACTGTGTATAACATAGATGTCAGACTCGGTTTGGGACGATCACTGTGTATAACATAGATGTCAGACTCGGTTTGGGACGATCACTGTGTATAACATAGATGTCAGACTCGGTTTGGGACGATCACTGTGTATAACATAGATGTCAGACTCGGTTTGGGACGATCACTGTGTATAACATAGATGTCAGACTCGGTTTGGGACGATCACTGTGTATAACATAGATGTCAGACTCGGTTTGGGACGATCACTGTGTATAACATAGATGTCAGACTCGGTTTGGGACGATCAGTGTGTATAACATAGATGTCAGACTCGGTTTGGGACGATCACTGTGTATAACATAGATGTCAGACTCGGTTTGGGACGATCACTGTGTATAACATAGATGTCAGTATAACATACTGATGTATAACATAGATGTCTCGGTTTGGGACGATCACTGTGTATAACATAGATGTCAGACTCGGTTTGGGACGATCACTGTGTATAACATAGATGTCAGACTCGGTTTGGGACGATCACTGTGTATAACATAGATGTCAGACTCGGTTTTGGATAATTGGATATAACACAGATGTCAGACTCGGTTTTGGATAATTGGATATAACATCGACGTCAGACTCGGTTTCGGATAATTGGATATAACATAGATGTCAGACTCGGTTTTTGATAACTGGATATCACATCGATGTCAGACTCGGTTTGGGACGATCACTGTGTATAACATAGATGTCAGACTCGGTTTGGGACGATCACTGAATATAACATAGATGTCAGACTCGGTTTGGGACGATCACTGTGTATAACATAGATGTCAGATTCGGTTTGGGACGATCACTGTGTATAACATAGATGTCAGACTCGGTTTGGGACGATCACTGTGTATAACATAGATGTCAGACTCGGTTTGGGACGATCACTGTGTATAACATAGATGTCAGACTCGGTTCGGGACGATCACTGTGTATAACATAGATGTCAGACTCGGTTTGGGACGATCACTGTGTATAACATAGATGTCAGACTCGGTTTGGGACGATCACTGAATATAACATAGATGTCAGACTCGGTTTGGGACGATCACTGTGTATAACATAGATGTCAGACTCGGTTTGGGACGATCACTGAATATAACATAGATGTCAGACTCGGTTTGGGACGATCACTGAATATAACATAGATGTCAGACTCGGTTTGGGACGATCACTGAATATAACATAGATGTCAGACTCGGTTTGGGACGATCACTGAATATAACATAGATGTCAGACTCGGTTTGGGACGATCACTGTGTATAACATAGATGTCAGACTCGGTTTGGGACGATCATTGTGTATAACATAGATGTCAGACTCGGTTTTGGACGATCACTCGTTTGGGACGATCACTGTGTATAACATAGATGTCAGACTCGGTTTGGGACGATCACTGTGTATAACATAGATGTCAGACTCGGTTTTGGACGATCATTGTGTATAACATAGATGTCAGACTCGGTTTGGGACGATCATTGTGTATAACATAGATGTCAGACTCGGTTTGGGACGATCACTGAATATAACATAGATGTCAGACTCGGTTTGGGACGATCACATAGATGTGTATAACATAGATGTCAGACTCGGTTTGGGGCGATCACTGAATATAACATAGATGTCAGACTCGGTTTGGGACGATCATTGTGTATAACATAGATGTCAGACTCGGTTTGGGACGATCACTGAATATAACATAGATGTCAGACTCGGTTTGGGACGATCACTGAATATAACATAGATGTCAGACTCGGTTTGGGCAGATCATTGTGTATAACATAATGTCACTGCATAACATAGATGTCAGACTCGGTTTATTTTGAATATAACATAGATGTCAGACTCGGTTTGGGACGATCACTGAATATAACATAGATGTCAGACTGAATAATAAACATAGATGTCAGACTCGATGCCATTTTTGGGACGGGACGATCACTGAATATAACATAGATGTCAGACTCGGTTTGGGACGATCACTGAATATAACATAGATGTCAGACTCGGTTTGGGACGATCACTGAATATAACATAGATGTCAGACTCGGTTTGGGACGATCACTGAATATAACATAGATGTCAGACTCGGTTTGGGACGATCATTGTGTATAACATAGATGTCAGACTCGGTTTGGGACGATCACTGAATATAACATAGATGTCAGACTCGATGTCAGACTCGGTTTGGGACGATCATTGTGTATAACATAGATGTCAGACTCGGTTTTGGATAATTGGATATAACACAGATGTCAGACTCGGTTTTGGATAATTGGATATAACATCGACGTCAGACTCGGTTTCGGATAATTGGATATAACATAGATGTCAGACTCGGTTTTTGATAACTGGATATAACATAGATGTCAAACTCGGTTTGGGACGATCACTGTGTATAACATAGATGTCAGAGTGGGTTTGGGACGATCACTGTGTATAACATAGATGTCAGCCTCGGTTTGGGACGATCACTGTGTATAACACATAGATGTCAGATAATTGGATACTTTTCATCTTTTCAGATTTCTTTTGTTTTAAGGCAGTAATCAATATCCAATATCCTGCATAAATGTCCTAATATTTATTTTAAAATTGAAAAAAAAACGATATATTTGTATCGATGCCATTTTCTGTAAAATTCAGGAATACTAGTATAGAACTGATATAGTTAAAACAAGATCTGGAGTAGGTAGCGGTCTCCTATAATAAGGGAAATAACTCTAATGAATGTTCGAACTGAAATCAACAATCTCGGTCATGATAGAACTATTGACTTTATATTTCAGCTTTAAAACCGTCGACCTCTGATTATGTAAAAAGTACAAAACAAAGCGCAGAGAAAATAAACATCGATTTTACTTAAAAGTAAATGTTATACGATATTTCTTAATTTAAAACCGCTGCGTTAATTTGTCAAAAAATAAAGTAAAAGAATATCTACATCGTAAAAAAGTATTATCTTTAAAATATGCTAAACAACAAACAAGAAAAAACAGCTTATAATAGGATCAAAACCAAAAATAAAAGTGAACATTGACACTGGGTAATTAGCATTGCCATTTTTCCAGCTGGTTGACATTAAAATCAATACCAACAGATTTGTACAGACACCAACATTTCAACACTGGTATCTACACCGGCTCTTAAATATTGACATTAACACCGGGTCATTAACATTAACATCGACACCGGCTGATTAACACCGACATCGACACTAGGCAACTTACAGTGACATCGACACCGGCCGATTAACACCGACATCGACACTAGGCAACTTACAGTGACATCGACACCGGCTGGTTAACACTGACATCGACACTAGGCAACTTACAGTGACATCGACACCGGCCGATTAACACCGACATCGACACTAGGCAACTTACAGTGACATCGACACCGGCTGGTTAACACTGACATCGACACTAGGCGACTTACAGTGACATCGAGGCCGGCTGATTAACACTGACATCGACACTAGGCAACTTACAGTGACATCGACACCGGCTGATTAACACTGACATCGACACTAGGCGACTTACACTGACATCGACACCGGCTGGTTAACACTGACATCGACACTAGGCGACTTACAGTGACATCGACACCGGCTGATTAACATCGACATCGGCACTAGGCGACTTACAGTGACATCGAGGCCGGCTGATTAACACTGACATCGACACCGGCTGATTAACACTGACATCGACACTAGGCGACTTAGAGTAACATCGACACCGGCTGATTAACACTGACATCGACACTAGGCGACTTACAGTAACATCGACACCGGCTGATTAACACTGACATCGACACTAGGCGACTTACAGTGACATCGAGGCCGGCTGATTAACACTGACATCGACACTAGGCGACTTACAGTGACATCGAGGCCGGCCGATTAACATCGACATCGGCACTAGGCGACTTACAGTGACATCGACACCGGCTGATTAACACTGATATTGACACCGGCCGACGAATCATAACCTCGATATGCAATCAACACCGGTGAATTGACATTGAGATAATTATTACTACATAAATTTAAATTAAAATAATTTGAACGTTATATTAAAACATTAAAAGGCTCGGGTTAAAAGTTAAACATTACAAACTTAAAACAACGTATGAACACATCTTAACAATTAGTTTACCCTGTTGTTAAACATCCATAGCGAGACAGCATAGCATTTAGTTCAACACATTATCTTATCTACATTCAAACATGTGAAACAAAACTCCCGTGAAGACATCTTTGTCCTATACAGCAAGTGAATCACGTGACTAGTTGTTTAGGGCTTATCAATGATAAGAGGGAATGAAGAGTGGAATCAAATACAAAAACCTGGTTCATTTAACGAAATGTCAGCTTAAATGATAACAAATGTGATACATCATTCTAGATGTTAAAATGACACTGTTCCCAGATCATTATTATAGTTATTATGGACATGCCCACACGGTCATTTAAACAGACACTGTATAACATTGTAAAGTTAGATATATTCATGTTTATCCGATTTTCCTCAGGTGGTATTCAACCATGATAAATTCTCACATCCGTAAGACAATAACAGGATTCTTGCAGTGAACATCGTAAAATCGTCTGCCGAATAAAAGGTTTCGTGATTGTTGTTTTAAAGACTTTAACTAAAACCGGAAATGGAATAACACTACACTCTCCAAGGTTGCGTTATCTGAACAACATTGCTATCGCGCAGGGTTTACAATCTATTTCTGTACTAAGTACTTCCGCCTCTATTTTTGACCATCGATGCTAGAATCACACTTCCGTAACAAACTCCCTATTTCTGTTCCACTTTAGCCGGAAGTAAATGTCTTTGGTGAGCATGTGGTAAATACATGCCGCTGACTTTGTTTGATGCAATTCCGGTTTGCTTGGAGTATTGGTCTTGAGATACACTGCCATTTCATGGTTTACTTCCGTCAACACTTGTAGAAAGTCTGTCTGAAAGTCGTATCTGTGGAGCCGACACACTACATTATACATACAATATGGTAGCCATCCTCCAATGTGGTCATCGCACCACGCAAACCGCTCTGGAAAAGTAACAAGACTTTGCATTAAAATACTTTTTAAACAGTGAAAACCTACAAAAGAATCAGATCTCTTAAACTTGATTTGTGTTTCGGAATCCACATTTCGCGACTTAAACTAAAATCTAGAACTGATGATTAAGTGGGTAGGTTAAAGGCAAGCCCGTAACTCAACTCACCAAACACATTTGAAAACAAGAAATATCTTGAACCAAAGAACTGGACATTTTGCAATGAAGATTATGACCAGGATCCAGATCCTTTCAATAAATAAAATGAAGAAATTGCTGCATTTTCCTTTTGGTCAAGGTCATCAGTTTTTAAACTTTGTCGGGCTCTATCCTCGAAAACTGCAGAACAGGCAAAATATCTGCATTCTAACCTTCTTCTTAATATGTAAAAAGACAAAGCCTTTAAAAGAGAACTTTGAATGTGAATGTGTAATTACTGAACGTGACTGGCAAAACGAACCATTCAATATATAAGTACTCGTTTCTCTTTGAGTTACCTCCCTTACACAAAAAATGATATAACAAACATTGTGAAGCGACCTGTTGCCCCTGTTTTACTTGATTACTTTGATATACGTAATGAGAATATATCTTTATCCATTTCAAACGGAATTATACTGAGTATACAACACTACCTACCTCAAATATCGGACTCATGAGAGACTTCTATAACACGTTTGTTTATGTCTGGAGATAGGACAAGTCGAATATAGCAATGACATGGAGGTTATCGAGAGAATTTAAAAAATATATTAAGGTAAACTTTAGAGATTGACTTGAAACCTCCTGGCATGTTACCTCGTCTTAAGCGAGCACTTATCAGATATGATTGTTTGTCGATACTAAGTACTATATCCAAATGTGTGTACGACTGATGGTAACATTCCATGTGTACTCGGCATTGGTGAGGGCTGTCATTAAAAACAAAAACGTTGCACATTCGTCTGTGCCTAGTACTGTGATTATGAGAAACTCCATTTCAGCTGTTAAAACGAATCAGTATATCACGTGAGAGTCTATTTTATAGGACCATTTTTTTAGATGTTTGGTATTACAACCTTTTTAAGGGAATATTTGGAATGATCGTTGGCAGGAAAACATCACATTTCTAATGCATTTTCATGGGTTTTCGTGGAGAGGCACTGGAATATATATATCAACGAAATTATTAGAAAGAGACTATTTGTGAATGAAAACAACGCTCACTAGGGACGCTAGTGTTGTAGTAAGTTTACATCGTTAAAGGGACAATTTAGTAAAGTTTTATAAATATTTGTTTATATTAAAACTCGTTCATGAGATTGTAGTTCTTTACCCCTTATGAACTATGCATGTGCTTATATTGGCCAAATACTACACTTCCCATATGTTTAAAATTAATTGTAAGGAATTCTTATGCAAATAACGGGCCTGTGCAAACAAGTCTCGGCAAAGTCAACAAAAATGGCTTCCAATCCGAAGCGGGAGCGAGTAAAATGAGTTAGAGTATCACACCAAATAGAGAATAGTAAACGGATGTGAAAAAATGCTAGAATTACTGTTGGCCAAAAATATGAGATGGAACGTATTATATGCAACTTATTTATGTAAATTATTACCCCGTGAAAGATTAACAAAACCGTGTCATCACTGTTCTTCCATCATTGCTCCCGCCAGAGGGTGCTTTCCCAAATTTAAACTGACCAACTCGGACATTGGCTACGTAGCAAATAACTTTCATGCCATAATTTTTTCCGTATATGTATTTATATTATCGTTTCTACTTGAATTAAAAAAAACGCTGATTGACCAGATTGTGCCTTTATAATGACCACAGGTACATGTATTACAGAACGATTTCGGGGAACGATGTCACACATCGTAATATGAAATTATCCAATGAAGTGTTTCTTACCTGGGGCAGAAGAAAACATAACGAGACAATGGTTGTAGCACGGGATGGAGCAGAAGTCAATTTCCCATTTCAGCTGGAGTGCCAATTTTCTTTCTAGCCTTTTCCGTTCTTCTTCCCGCTGCACTTGCTCTTGGTAGCGACGGCATGCCTCTCGATTTTTTCTTTGTTCCTGCTCGTCATCAGTTTTCTCTATATCGTCGACAAAGGGTATATGTTCCAATCCCTGCATCCTTATGATATCGTCATCCGGCCTACCTTTTGCGTCAGATTTCGTAGTGTTTTTGAAGTCGTCTTCTCCAGTGTTTCCATGTGCCTCCTGCTTTGTTATAGATTCCGCCTTTGTCCGAATTTCAAACGATGTCCCACGATGCCCCTCCTCCTGTTCGATTTCTTCTTCATGTGTACTCGTGCATTCGTCACTGTAATTCTGTCCCTGGTGATAGGAAACGTCATGCCCCTCTCCTCCTGGATACATGACGAACGGTGGAACTACATCCATGATGTCTATCTCGACTCCATCGTCCACCATATCTGTATCGGCTGTATCGTATCGCCCCCGACACGCCTATAATACAGACAGACATTTACATAGTACCGCCCCGACACGCCTATAATACAAATATTTACATCATACCGCCCCGACACGCCTATAATACAAATATTTACATCGTACCGCCCCCGACACGCCTATAATACCAGACAAACATTTACATCGAACCGTCTCCAACACGCTTATGATACGGACAAATATTAACGTTGAACCTCCCCAGCACGTCAATTTACACGGACTTACATGGGGAATACATGGCCAGTGTCTGCATTTTGTCGAGAGTGAAAAAAGGCAGAAGTGACGAGCCTTTATCTATCTCGCAATACTTTCAACTGTTTGTTACGCATATTCAATCTACTTATGTTTACCTGACGTTGACGTTACATTGTGCCCGATGACGCACGTCAAAATTATCATGCCGCACAGAAATATAGTTCCATCTTCAATGTTAGTAAATAAGAATGTTTGTTACGAAAAATGAAATATCTAAGTTAATTAGAAAATAATTTTGTCTAATTAATGTACGTACTAAATACATATACCTGTGTTCTGTCACTGCCAAATACAACAAAAATATATGTGGTATGTGTATTCCGACAATGGTAGCGCCATAATGCAGTACTTCAAGCTAGGTATTTTATTCACTTTCGCGAAAAAGAGAACGTTGATTTGTTTACCTGTATGAAGAAAAGTTTTGGCTTCCCTCTCATTGCTGCACAGTTGCTATCGTTGAACATACTGACGATCTCATCTGTAGGGATCATGCCGTCGTATGTATGAAGCACGTGCTGCCGGATATTGTGGTCTCGACCCTGTGCCTCCGCGCCATGAGTGCTGATCAGACACGCAAAACAGTCACTGTCTTCCTCCAACTTTGATTGGATCTCTAAAAAGTACTTGATTGTTTACACAGGTGTTTTTCGTTAACAAGATTATGACAAAGTTAATATTATTCTTCTTATTCAAACGTTACCGTGGGTATAAACACGTAATTATTAGCATTATAATAATCATCTCTTATTGATACAACTAGATTACAAGCACTATAAGATTGATACAGACCTATCAATGAGTCCCTCAAATCGCTGGTTGTCTTGTTCTGTAATAGTATGACGTAAAAATCAAGAACTTGAAACAATTCTGTCAGGTTTTTGATATCGTGTTTGGCACTAGGTCGGTTATCTTTGATATTTGAAAACTCTGTATTCACGATTAGCACAGCAACCCCACGCCGGAAATGGTTAAAGTCGTAAATATCATCGAGCATATTCTGTAACTTTCTCCTTTCCCAGATGTTTGGAGAATCAAAGTTAGCTATATCTGACTGTGTTTCAATTTCACTCTCATTTCCGGTACTGTCGTTGTCGAACGAGCTCGACTTTTCATCGTCATCGTTGTTTTCTCTCGGGCATTCCTCTACAAGTGTTACTTCCGGTTTTGCTATCGGTTTGGGTGTACTTCCACGTTTTATTCTATAAAGCAATTAATCAACATCAAAATAATTAACATCAAAATATAAAGATGAAGAGAATGTCAATTGGTTACATTTTAATCAGGCTATCTAGGTATCAGTGTAACAGGTAAGTTATACGTGTATGTAATCCTGAGTCTGACAGGTAAGTTATACGTGTATGTAATCTGTCTGGCAGGTAAGTTATACGTGTATGTAATCTGTCTGACAGGTAAGTTATACCTGTGTGTAATCTGTCTGACAGGTAAGCTATACGTGTATGTAATCTGTCTGACAGGTAAGTTATACGTGTATGTAATCTGTCTGACAGGTAAGTTATTATACATGTATGTAATCTGTCTGAGAGGTAAGTTATACATGTTTGTAAGCTGTCTGACAGGTAAAGTCATCATACATGCATACAATCGCGAACATGTTCTAGAAAAGCGAAGAATTAGTTTCAAATCGACATTAATAAAACAAAGTGACTCACCCTCGTACTAATGTCTTTACTCGTTTGTTTAACGTGTCTCTGAAACCGTCCGGCGAAGTATCTAAAATACACAAAACAACCAGTTACGATAACAAGACAAGGGGACCGTGGCGCACCAGTGTTTAGTCTTTGCATGTTCTTTAAAAGTTTAATTTTATCCGTCTTTTCTGTTGTTTCTTTTGTGTTTTCTTTTAATAATGTCAAATTCAAAATTTCGTCTGAAGAAAGAGTGAGGATAATCTTTAACCGCCAAATCAAAGGAGGTCGCCTTTTGGTCCTCTTGATTTTCTGATCTGCCCCAAAATTAGAAGGCACAACTAAGGAGCAAGGGAACGTACATAGAAAAATTAAGACAGATCTATCCACAGCTTCTCAAAAATAGCAATATAAACTGTGTCAAAATCAACAAAGACCGCCTGTCAGTTACTTTCTTTACTGGTTAGTCAGAAAATTAAATCGGCTTGGCACAAATAAGTACCAAGCGGAACCAACATATGAAATTTTAAAAGATCCATCTAGCACCACTCAAGAAATAACGATATAAAAATCTGTCATTGCCAAAATTCAATATGATCGCCTCTCAGTTATTTTTTTCATCAGTGACAAAATCGAGTAAGTACAACAAGGAATCAAGGGGGACATATATATTAAATTTGAGAAAAATCCATTCAGTACTTCTAAAGAAATAACGATAGGAAACATTGCTTACAGACGGACGAAGGAAGGACGACACATTATCTTTGTACACGGAACGCCTACTTCCAGGTATTCCATTTATAATTACCACATGTTTAACTGATCAACAACAATACCGTAAAGTCGTTAAATTACTTGTTCAGGTAAAGCGTGTACCTGTAGTGTTATAGAGCTACCTTGACAACTTTAGCCGAATGTCATTTACTCACCTCTTGACAATGAGGTGTTTTGTGTTTCGCTGAGTTATGTGTCGGGTACCATCCACACCTGTAACGTGTACCATATACTACTGACAACTGATTGTGTACAAGATAACACTCTGTACCTACCACTGACAACTACAATGTGTACAAGATAACACTATGTACCATCCACACCTATAACGTGTACCATATACCACTGACAACTGATTGTGTACAAGATAACACTGTGTACCATCCACACCTGTAACGTGTACCATACACCACTGACAACTGATTGTGTACAAGATAACACTCTGTGCCATCCACACCTGTAACGTGTACCATATACTACTGACAACTACAATGTGTACAAGATAACACTGTGTACCATCCACACCTGTAACGTGTACCATACACCACTGACAACTATAGTGTGTACCACTGCAAACTTTGAAGACCATAAGAGATAAATATCTCCTTTCACAAAGGATCTAGAATCATGTGATAGTCACAACATTAAGAAACGTCCGTACTGTTAGAGTTACATATCTGGTTGTACCACCAGACTCCAATGTATATATTTCATCACAGAAGGCAGATTTAATCCGGATATTTTTGTGCCCCAACGAGATCCCAAATTGACACATACAAACGTGATGTCAGTTTATCAACCTATCATATTGACTTCATTTGCTCTAACAAATGGTTAAAGATAGGGTGTTATCAGTATAGCAAAAGATGGGGTTTATCAGTATGACAAAAAATAGGTGTTATCAGTATGGCAAAGGTAGGGTTTTATCAGTATGACAAAAGATAGGGTGTTATCTGTATGACAAAAGATAGGGTGTTATAAGAAGGTTAATCAACTGACAAACAGTTAGGTAGATATTTTCTAGGACGTTTCAGAAACTTACTAGGAATATAGTCTATTTATAAGTAACTGAGTTCACGTTTCATTTTTATCGACAGAAAGTCTATACTTGTAAGTACACAATATTAGGACACATGTGTGTTGTTTAAACTTGTGATATCTATCAGATGACAGACAATGTATACGTTTTTATCGGATATAGACTGATTACAAACTCCGTGATATACACTGTACATTGAATGTCTCCGCTGGACGACTGTTTTTTTTCCATTTAAGGAATTTATTTTTAGAATAACAAATAGCGATTTTGAGATCATGTGAGTATTCGCCTGTACAGGCCACATCATATGCTTCCCACATGCGTGACATTAGCTAGCAGATTTAGACCTATTTAAACAGAATATATAATCTGGTGTTGAGAGCTCTCCACATCAACAACGTATTAGAACATCCATGAATTACAGCGACTGACGAACGTGTCGTCGTTTTGACTTAATAAAAATGTTAAAATATGAATATAGCTATTAGCACAGGTGGATCCAATAAACGTGCGAGGTAGTCCATACACACTGTACTATCTATTGATCGACTTATGAAATACATATTTGTATTGCTGAGTATTATACAAACAACTATATCGTAAGCAAACATTTGTCATGTACATCTGCAGAAAATCAGTTTTAAGATTTACACCAAATATTACTTAGAAAACAGATAGACTAACCTATGTTGTTAACTATGTAACAGTAAGTATTTGTGTACAATGTTGTAACCAGTTATTACTACACAGAAAAGTCGTCAGACAACCTGCTTTTCGTCTATGTATAATTAATGGCATGATGAAGCAGAAACACACACCCGGCGTCACGCAACTACACTCACCTGGAGTATCAGTCAGTTCATCAACCCCTACACAGGTCCCCTCCGTCACACCGACTGGCCCGGGGGACGGGACAGTGGTGTTGTGTGTATCTGACGTATCCGCCAGGAGAGAGGGTTTGTTTTCCGCCATTTTTAATTACTATTTCTTCTGAAGTAGTTACAACACTGAGCGGAAGTTGCTTTTTCTTTGGTTTGACCAGACGAGGACACAATGGTCTTATCCGCTTACATATTGACACAGACGGTATCAGTGACGTCTCCAGTACATATATACCTGTATATCCGAAACTAAATAATGTATTAATGGGCGCTAGGTACTAGGTATATAAAGCAGAATACAACTAGGAAATTCCCAACATATGACGATGAAAAGACTCGGAAATCCACCCGCACGGTGTGCCTATCGATTTTGGAGATTTTCCTATTTAGACCAGTGTGCGATGATCCGTAAAGGCTTAATCTAGCTACTAAGTAGGTTAAACACACAGTACATAGTGTGTGTAATACGTGAGGACAGAAATACATTCCTTTGTGTAATGTCAACGACTCGGACGAGACTTAGTTGATTGTAGATATAACAACAATTTACAAAGAACGGGTCAATGTATTTTTCAAAGTTCAGTTCTGATAATCACGATGTCAAACTAGCAATACATAACGTTCTGTTTTGCAAACCAACCGCGTTGCTTGAACTTCAGCCATGATCTGAAAGACATGAAAGTGTCTTTCGGAAAGGTGAGAAGTCTTCTTTATACACTTTTTTTACAAACAAATAAGACACGTTTTTTTTTAAAGAAAACGAGTGATTTCATGTGATGTTCGAATGCTTTGTACACTCGGTCGTGCAATTCGTTTCAAAGAATATCATTGTTAAAAATCACGTGCCAAACTGAAAACTGACATTTCGGAATGGTGAACAATAGATCGGGAGCCTGCAGTTTAGCAGTCGGTCGGGTCGTCCAAACAATGATCTCAGGACTAACTTTAGATGTCTTACTGTAAAAACGGTGTCCGTAGGTTGATTATTTATGACACCCCTGGTTTAAATTGGAAGAAGTTTCCGTACGATAACTTGAGTTCCTGTGGGCGAATCAGACTCAACATGGACGTGCTTGCTTCAGACTGCTGTCCAGTGAATGGTGAAGTCTAGAGCTGTTTCAGTGTCTAGCAAAAATCTTCTACTTCATCATTTCAAGGCGAATGTTTTGTTTATTATTTAGGGAAATAATTTGATATGTGTACAATACGTTTAGACGCTATCATGACAGCCTAACATCGATATCTAGAAGAAACCTTTTTACCTGGTCAGCCGTTCATGTTTTTACCTAATGGCGTTTTTATGACGTAATAATAACACGAGCCAGCAATGTAAAGGTGAAGTAGCTGTCTCGCGTTTCTTAATCGTTTACGATTGGACGTTTACAGTCTCATTTTTATTAATTAGATCTAATAAACTATTTTCATCCCGTGATTGTGAATTTCAAAATACTTGTGAATTCCGTTGAAAATTAAGAAACAGAGTTGATGAAATGCGAGCATGTAGCTCTGGATTCACTTTCAAAACAAAATACAAGTCTGTAATCACTGATCCCGATATCAAGACCACAGATATTTAGAAGTTATTGTATTTGTATGCAATGCATTTAATTACTTATTCTTGTCTGCGACTATTCTGAGGGAGGTAAATTTCTCTCTCTTGTATTTCGTTTGTCCCTTTTACAAGTTATAGAATACCATACTCAGAAACACTGTTACAGGCTCATGTTTCCGAAATCATTCCCGATGTATTCCGTTCAGAGTCTAGGACCTATCTGATTTACAAACATTGCTATCGATGTTAGACGCACAATGTACGTTCATTATCGAATAGAAGAGTGCCAGGTGTCACATGGTTTTAAATGTTAAATTTGTTACATTTTTGTCAGTGAGCTGTTAAGAAATATCATCACATTGATAAAGGTGTTATTTTTCACTAGTTAAAAATAATACTTCCGCAGACTTACACCAATGGAAAGAAAGAACACAGATCATTTTATAAAATTGACAAATCCTACAGCCCGGTACACAAAATACAAAACCAGACATATGTTTACTGGTAACACGACTTGCAATTCCAAGGTAAACTTTCATATTTGATGAAAGTCAGCAATCCATGCCAGTCAGTATCTCAAATGACCTTATCAGAAGTTCAACCCATATGGACATTTCATGAGGATTCGTGTCATCGACAGTGACAGCGACTGCCACGCTCGTCGCCTTATCTTCGGTCGCGTAGGAAGTTGTTACAAACCATTATTATCAAACTCTCTCCGAACGTTTTACAGCAAATTTTGTCTGTAAGTGAAATGAAAAAGTTTTTTTTTGATGTCAATAAAATTTACATGAAAAATTCTAATTGTTAATACATTATTTGTGATTTTTTAAAATGGACTTAATTTTGTCGAGTACCGAGGAAATATGAGAAGTGAGTGGTGTCGATGCAAAATATAAGTCAGCTTTGTCCTTTTATGTCTGTCCTAAACATAATAATAATTTGACTATTTTGCTTGTGAAAATGTAATAAATAAATATTTAATGGTGTCTTCAGCAATGACAAATATATATCACTCGTGTATCTAATATTTTTGTATCTTCCATTCCTGCAACATACTAAGATATTAAGCTCACTTATAAAATAAATTTGTTATTACTGTAGATAATATTAAATATCCTCTATTTAACGGAAACAGTATCCAACTAAGCCCATTAAAGTGTCTTATGTAAAACATTGAATAAAAATGAACTTCAACCATTATCTAAACAGTAAGAACCCAAATTAAAAATAATTGAATCAAAATGTCACAGGTTTCAGGCAATCTTTTATCACTGTCAAATAACTACTGTAGTATTACTGTCACATAACTACTGTAGTATAATTGTCACATAACTACTGTAGTATAATTGTCACATAACTACTGTAGTATAACTGTCACATAACTACTGTAGTATCACTGTCACATAACTAATGTAGTATTACTGTCACATAACTACAGTAGTATTACTGTCACATAACTAATGTAGTATTACTGTCACATAACTACAGTAGTATTACTGTCACATAACTAATGTAGTATTACTGTCACATAACTACAGTAGTATTACTGTCACATGACTACTGTAGTATTACTGTCACATAACTACTGTAGTATTACTGTCACATAACTACTGTGGTATTTCTGTCACATAACTACTGTGGTATAACTGTCACATAACTACTGTAGTTTTATCGACATATCTACGGTAGTAGTACACATTATTCCTGTTAGCCAACAACATGACTGATGCATGTTTGATCAGAAATTGTCATGTGATTGGCGGCATGGGACTGTCAGGTGATAAACAGGTAAGTGGCTCGCCCACGATTTATCCATTGCGAAGAAGACGTGACTAAACTTCAGGTATGTTTGTCAAAAAGATCAAATATATCGAACAGGGCATGCTGTTGCGCAAAAGATACTTTGCTATTTTCTGAGTGTTAGGAAGTTCTTTAGTCCCAGCTAATCATATTTCATTGTGTTGTATGACTTCATCACAGTCAAGCACCACATTAACTATACCCTAAATAAACCTATGGCTAGTTGTCACAGAGAAGCGACTTTCAATGAGAAAGAGATCACACAAAGTTCAAAGCCAGCCCAACCTGATTCTCCCGGAGATAATACAGTCTCCTGGTGTCCTTTTGCTTCATATATACTGGAAATGATGAACAGCATCGACAAATGTGATGTGACAACATGTTGTTATGTCTGCGCGTCATCATAGTTTCCAGATGTTGAAAAAAGTTGTTCATACATTGTGATACCGCGGGTTATTAAAGTTGTTCAGACAGTATGATACCGCGGGTTATCAAAGTTGTTCAGACAGTGTCATACCGCGAGTTATTAAAAGTTGTTCAGACAGTGTGATACCACGGGTTATTAAAGTTGTTCAGACAGTGTCATACCGCGGGTTATTAAAGTTGTTCAGACAGTGTCATACCGCGAGTTATTAAAAGTTGTTCAGACAGTATGATACCACGGGTTATTAAAGTTGTTCAGACAGTGTCATACCGCGGGTTATTAAAGTTGTTCAGACAGTGTCATACCGCGGGTTATTAAAGTTGTTCAGACAGTGTCATACCGCGGGTTATTAAAGTTGTTCAGACAGTGTCATACCGCGGGTTATTAAAGTTGTTCAGACAGTGTGATACCATGGGTTATTAAAAGTTGTTCAGACAGTGTGATACCATGGGTTATTAAAAGTTGTTCAGACAGTGTGATACCATGGGTTATTAAAGTTGTTCATACAGTGTGATACTTCAGGTTATCACAGTTGTCAGACAGTGTTGAAATCGTTTCATAAAAAGACTTGATACCTCGTAATGTCCGTTCATGACGCATTGCCGGTATTTTCTGTTTCTGCGATATCTCTACGTTGACACTGTGCACGACCCGTTGATTAAAAACAACCGAATCCACACCGAGATACTTCACGACAAAATACCATGTCCAAGGTATGTGCAAGATGGGTTTTAAGAAAGCTTTCGGATGACACGAGTCATTCGAAGATCACCATTAGTGGGCCCTTGCTGACTTTAATTTAGGTTTGTAACCTGTGATGATCAGAGAATTAACTGGAATCACTGGAATGGTAACATGCCACATCTTCCAAGAAGGTTACGGCGACCATGACAGTAAAAGAGCGGATTCCCATCGACTACTAAACCCAATGGAACCACAATGAATGGGCAGTAGACATACGTAAAGGAGACTTTACTTCACTGAGACAGCGCACCAGGTATTGGGGTGGAAGCTTTGTGAGAGTGGCTATGAACTCACTAACCACTCATTTTCAATACTAGTCCCCAGCGAATTCCATCTCTTTTAGAGGTTTTGAGGAGGGTGTTGAGCTGAATGTGCAGTTGAGGGATGTTGGTTGATTTCTACCGATTGGGTAGCAATGACTGGCAAACTAACTGGACAATGATGCGGAGATGTGAGGGAGCTATTTTGTTGCAGTGTTTGAGGCTCAAAACGATTTGATATGCCCTAGTACCGCGAGATTCTCCCGTAATTTTTCCGTTGTAATTATCATTTGGAATGGATAGCCAACAATAAAACTATTCATTTCAGAAATCATTACTGATTCTCACAAAAGTTACAATCTCCTTGTGCATTTAAGAATACTGGCTTTGGAAAGCAAAGTTTCTCATTTTCGGCCCCGCCAACAGTTTTCGGGCGTCGAATCAACTTTATGATTTTGAGAAATAATTGGCCACCTTAATGATGATTAAGACATGATTTGGTTGTAAAAGGTTGGGGCATTAATGAAAAGTAGCAGACGACGCTCGACTGATATTTTCTCTTCCACACGTTAGCGGAAGTTACGTCTATTGGTGCTTTAAAATCACAACATATCAATAGAGTCATGTCATGGCATTCCATTACTGATTTTCATTAAATTTCTGAACAGGGAAAATTCACATTCTCATCAAATGCCCGGATCATGAACCAAGCCCGAGTCTACGACATGATAATGGATCAGCTCTACCAACTGAACCAAATATTCCACATCGATACAATCCTTTCACAAATATGACTTAAGACAACAAAACATATTAGACATGCTATAATCTTATAGAAATACACAATAAAATAACACTACTACGAAAAAGGTATAACAAGTAATGAGACAAAGTTTCGAGGATAAATCACTCTTCAATTGTAAAATAATAATTCACATCAAGCTCGCCGTCCGTTAAAGCCTAGATTCTAAGAACGGGAAGCGACCATTTGCTGTTTGACATTACATCAATACTACAGAATAAAATTGTACTGGTCTTGCATCCACTTTAACGTTAATTTCTATCATCAAAAACTACTATTGCTTCTGTTTTTATCTTTTTAAACATCTAACACCTACTAAATTCTTATTGAAAGCAACTTGTTACGTCCATATTGGTCTCAGCTTTGAAAACACTACATAAATAACGGTAGCTGTAGCACCAATATCGGGTCTGTGAAATATCAAAGTTATCATGACAACACTTCCGGATCATTTCATGGCTACACTTCCGACAATCTCTTCAAGATTTGCCGTTCCGTAACAATCACAATGCACTTCTGTAAATGGCTTACTGACCTCGCGGTCGGGGTCAAAATTGACGTAGGACAAAGCTATGGCAGCAGCACTGACAACGCTAACGAAGGACACAGCTGTATTGTATTCCGTCGATCAGTGTTAATGGGGTACCGCATTGCACTCTGGGAGAGATTGAAACATGGAACATCTTTACTATGACTACACTTCCGGGTGTGAAGCAGATGCCATCGTTACTATGACTATACCGCCGAAACTTGTACCCTGTCGACTTTGGGTATCGGGGCGTACTTGGGTGTTAAGTAAATATCCTTAGTAAGCATATGGTAGATACAGGCGGCGGATTTGCGTTGGTGCATGACCCTATCCCTTGTTATGTTTGTCTCCAGACTCTGGGCCATAGTTTCGTTCACATCCGTCAAAGCCTCTAAAAGATCGATGCGGAAGTTAAGTTGTGCCATCTTATCGAGAACTTTATACATACAGTACGGCAGCCATCCTCCCTTAAAATCATCAGACCACGCGAAACGCTCTGTAATGAGATCACAAAACCTATATAAATGAACAAATCTTGAATGTCAAGACGACTGGTCTCCGTTAAAAAACATAAATAATGCGACAGTAAGTTATGTTGCTTTAACTAATGTTAATACCTAACTATAGTGACTTTGAACTTACCTGGAGCAGACGAGAACATGACTAGACAATGAGGGTAGCACGGAATTGTACAAAAGTCTACGTCATCAGCTTGGTGCGTCCGTGGAGGGTAATAGGGTACACGAGTGTTGTCTGGTGTTGACAAGTCTTGGTCATCACTGTCGTCTGTGTCATCATCATCAGCGAAAGGAATTCCATCCAGATTGACTTCTCCGCGGAAAGACTGAGACGAGTTTTCAGATGAGATGTTCTGATCACCCTGGACACTTCTTAATGACGGATGTAAATTGTCAACCTTGTCTATCTTTGAAGGAACGTCTCTGCTGTCACGTGAATGTCCCGTGGGCTGACGTACGGCGTACGTCACAGAAACTCCACTATCGATGGAGTCGATGTCCGCGGAGCTGTGAACAGACCTGCAAGCCTGGAAAAATGAGATAAAAATACACATTGTTTGAAAAGAATCTATATGTCTTGAGCGCTCAGTTTCTAGTTATACCGATACAAAACACAAACATCTCACTTCGTGAAAAATGAATTAGAAAAACCTCCGCGACGTTCTAGATGCCTTTTTATGGCGTACGCTGAAAAGTATTACATGCTTATTTTACAACACCTAGCTTGTCAGATTCCTTGAGTTTTGGAGTTTTCAGTACTAACTGCTTGTAATGGAAGTATCAGATAAATTTCGGAATCACCTGTATAAAAAAGAGTTTTGGTTTCCCCCCCAGACATCGGCAGCAGCTCTCAGTGAAAGGTTTGATGATCTCGTCGGTGGGTATCCATCGGTCGTAGGTGAAGGTCATATGCTGTCGCTTCCGCTTATCCTCGTATATTCTTGTCTCCAAACCGTGTGAGCTGATCAGGCACAGGAAGCAATCACAGTCAGAAGTCAAGGTTGAACGTATCTCTTTGGAAAATAGAGAAAAGTTAATGAACTGGAAAAGTGATTATTGTAACAAGTTTATGTCAGCTATATCTACACAGGCTGTGTCTGTGGCTGTTAATGTTGAAATTGGTCATTACACTCCCTTACTTCAGTAGTAGATTAATAGCCCCATTCCAACAAGTTTATTAATGAGAGACATCAACTGTTAAAATAAATACGCAAATGATAACGTGATAAATAATCATTTAAAACACCAAACGACGCTACTTAAAGAGAAGATAACTCACTTTCAAGTTCCTTACGTAAATCCGACGTAGAAAGGTCCCGCAATTTTATTATAGTAAAATTCAACGCTTTTAAGATCTTCTGGAACACTTCTATGTCATGTTTGGCATATTCTCTATCTGGAGTCATCTTCGGGTTCTTGAAATTCACATTGACAATTAGAACAGCCACCCCACGTGACTTGTAGTTAAAGTCGTACTCATCAGATGAACGGTTCGTCGTCCGTGTCTTTCTAGGGTCCACGAATACATCCCCAAAGAATGCATCGGGTCGGGTGTCGATTGGCAAAACAGTGTCATCACGTGACACTGTCGGACTTGGGACTGGGGAATCGCTGAGACTTGCCACACTGTTAAACACAAAAATACAATAAATCTTGATTGTGAAAGAAATCGGTCAAACGTAGACAAATAACCCCCAATCCATCAGCATGACTACTGACGAACTCGATGCTCAGAAACCTGCTACTTCAAACATCAAACACTTCTAGAATCATGAGATATTGTACAAGTAACGCTTACAATTCTATTCATGGTGTCCACGAAAAAGCGCATAGAGCGTCTTCATAACGCAGACAATCGGTACTACCCGCGGAGAAAAAAAACATGTGATAATGCAAGTAAGCACGTATTTTTGAGTCAATAGTTAATTAAAAGTGTTCGAACACCTAGTGACTACCATCGCATAAGAGACCGCTGGTCGGCTGATTTATGGTATGACGTCATGGTGTCGACTGAGACCTCTTGCTTCCGAAGCACTATTTCTCTGGTGCTCGTTCTGCACTCAAACCAGAAAGAAAGATTCAAGTGTGTGTCTATTTATGGAAAACTTGATGACAATTATGTGTACTTATAGTATAGACATGAATTATCTCATTTAAATCCTCACATCACTAGGCCTATGATACAGAATCTTAGTAACCACCATCACAAAAGAAACTCTCAGGCGTAGTCAATGACTGTGATGCCCTTAGCATCATTGATGAAACACAGAAGGACGAAACAGCCGGATGATGCAGTTAAACCAATTAACTAGCTCTATTGTATCTTATCTTAATTTGTATCTTTTTGTAAAATCTTTTCAAGGCATTTCCGTTTCATTTCCCATCTGTAAATTTGCATGTAGAGCGGATTGTTTGCGATAGATTTTCATGTCATTTTGGCTGATATTTCTATTTGGTATAAGTTATCTTTTTCCAAGAATGCTGCAATGCAATCAAATATTTCAACAGTTCTGTACAACATTACTGTTCATGGGCTTTTTCTCTTTACGTTACTTCTATATTGACTTTTCAGTCAAATCGAATGTGATTGTTTCAAGCAGACGCTCGACCTGTCTCTTATTTTCAACATCACATCATCGATGAATGCTTAAGCATTCTTCTTGAAACGGAATTAACACAAGTAAGTAACTATTCAATTTCGAATAAACTATTTCCAATCTTTTTTATTACATTGCTGGCTCACTTTACAGGGATCCGGAAAAGCACTCGTCCGGTCGTCATGGACGAGTGAAAATTGTCTCGGACAACCAGATTTATCTTTTTCCAGTGATATTAATGTTACAACTTAAATTTCAATAAAAATGTAAAGAAAATTTAAAACAAAGAAACGTGTTTACGGTACTTCGAAAACAAATATTCCAGTCTGCTCTCTAACTCTCGATTACGCCGGAACTCCCATGGCGTTAAATTTAGCATTCGGAATACCTTAACCATTTTCCCGCGGTTATACTGATGTCAGGTGCTCTCGTTCTTAACAGCGCCTAGTCAGTCAAATGTAAACAAACACTACGACCAGGCCTAAGTCGAGCACAATGTCTGACACAAAACAGCCATCACCACATAGTTTTTTGTTCACTAAAACTTCAAATAAAAATACAAAAAAGTCACATGTCACATTCTCGCTGATTAAGTCGCCATTTCATAGCTGAATTTGGACGAGTAAATTTCCAATCCGGAAGAGTAAATTTTTCATCCCACCAGTCCTGTGCCTAGTGGTTTAAAATATTTTTCCAGATCCCTGACTTTAATTGTGAGACTCAAACCCAACCAACGATTCGTCGCAGTAACCAATCAGCATTGTTTTGGTTAAAATTTAAATGTTTATATCAACCAAGCCTTTTTGTATCTCCAGTGAAGAGTGTAGATGTTCCATCAGAAAATTAAGAGAAGAGATTGATCTTTCATTTTTTTTTTTTTTTCCATTAATTAATTTTTCAAAATAGTTGTTTAAGACCCTTGATTATTCAAATCTATAAAAAAAAAGTCGCGTACTATCGAAATCCGAACTTTGAAGAGCTATAGAGAAGTAAGAGGTTCGTCAAGCCTGTCTTAAACTTTTAACATTGACTGAATTCGCTAATAAACCAACGTCATATTTTTTGCGTATATTACACATGGGTGAGTGTAATGAAACTTATTGTGATGTCATTTTAGAAAATGAAACATTTACATGAGACATCGTGAGGTTTCATAAATTCACATGTCAAAGGGAAACGAATTTAATTCAAGTATTTGTTTTAAAAAGAAACTTACCGCTTCGACAACTTTTTTACACTTGAAAAGAATTTCTTGAATCCGACATCGGCATGAGAGACTGAAATTAAAACCACTGTAAAATCAATCACTGAAATGTTTCAATCTCAATCGTCAGAACAATTAAAACGTTATTTGCCGACACAAAAGATAAAAATGAAACATCACAATATTATTTTGTACTCAAGACTCAATATATCACAGCGTCCCGGTGTGATCTAGAATCAACACCATTAAGTCACGCTTGTACGAGTCAACATCAAAACATCACGTGTGTACTTATGTCAACATCACAACCTCATGTGTATACTACTGTCAACATAACCTCATGTTTGTACTACTGTCAACATCATAACCTCGCGTGTGTATTAGTGTCAACATTACAACCTAACGTGTGTACTAGTGTCAACATTACAACCTCACATGTGTACTTGTGTCAACATCACAACCTCATGTGTGTACTACTGTCAACATAACAACCTCATGTTTGTACTAGTGTCAACATCATAACCTCGCGTGTGTACTTGGTCAGCATTGCAACCTCTCGTGTGTACTAATGTCAACATCACCATGTAGGTATGTTCTTGTGTTAACATCACAACCTCACGTGTGTACTTGGGTTAGCATCACAACCTAATGTGTGAACTAATGTCAACATCACAACCTCATGTGTGTATAAGTGTCAACATCACAACCTCACGTGTGTATTAGTGTCAACATCACAACCTCACGTGTGTATTAGTGTGAACATCACATTCTCACGTGTGTATTAGTGTCAACATCACAACCTCACGTGTGTACTCTTGTCAACATTACAACCTCTCGTATGTAGTAGTGTCAACCCTACAACCTCATGTTTGCACTGGTGTCAACATCACAACCTCACGAGTGTCAGCATCGCCATGTTAGGTGTGTACTAGTGACAACATCACAACCTCAAGTGTGCTGTTGTCAACATCACCATATCAGATGTGTACATGAGTCAATGCTACAACTCCCCGTGTGTGTTAGTGTTAACCTCACGTGTGTATTAGTGTTAACCTCATGTGTGTACTAGTGTTAACCTCACGTGTGCATTAGTGTTAACCTCGCGTGTATATTAGTGTTAACCTCATGTGTGTACTAGTGTTAACCTCACGTGTGCATTAGTGTTAACCTCACGTGTGTATTAGTGTCAACCTCACGTGTGTATTAGTGTTAACCTCATGTTTGTACTAGTGTCAACATCATAACCTCGCGTGTGTACTTGGTCAGCATTGCAACCTCTCGTGTGTACTAACCTCACGTGTGTATTAGTGTTAACCTCAAGTGTGTATTAGTGTTAACCTCACGTGTGTACTAGTGTTAACCTCATGTGTGTAAGAGTGTTAACATCACGTGTGTATTAGTGTTAACATCACGTGTGTACTAGTGTCAACCTCACGTGTGTACTAGTGTTAACCTCACGTGTGTACTAGTGTTAACCTCATCTGTGTACTAGTGTTAACCTCACGTGTGTATTAGTGTTAACCTCATGTGTGTAAGAGTGTTAACATCACGTGTGTATTAGTGTTAACATCACGTGTGTACTAGTGTCAACCTCACGTGTGTATTAGTGTTAACCTCACGTGTGTACTAGTGTTAACCTCATGTGTGTACTAGTGTTAACCTCACGTGTGTACTAGTGTCAACCTCACGTGTGTACTAGTGTTAACCTCACGTGTGTACTAGTGTTAACCTCATCTGTGTACTAGTGTTAACCTCACGTGTGTATTAGTGTTAACCTCACGTGTGTACTAGTGTTAACCTCACGTGTGTACTAGTGTTAACCTCACGTGTGTATTAGTGTTAACCTCACGTGTGTATTAGTGTTAACCTCATCTGTGTACTAGTGTCAACCTCACGTGTGTACTAGTGTCAACCTCACGTGTGTACTAGTGTTAACCTCACGTGTGTACTAGTGTTAACCTCATCTGTGTACTAGTGTTAACCTCACGTGTGTATTAGTGTTAACCTCATGTGTGTACTAGTGTTAACCTCACGTGTGTACTAGTGTTAACCTCACGTGTGTACTAGTGTTAACCTCACGTGTGTATTAGTGTTAACCTCACGTGTGTATTAGTGTTAACCTCATCTGTGTACTAGTGTCAACCTCACGTGTGTACTAGTGTCAACCTCACGTGTGTATTAGTGTTAACCTCACGTGTGTACTAGTGTTAACCTCACGTGTGTACTAGTGTTAACCTCACGTGTGTACTAGTGTCAACCTCAACGTGACCGTCACGTGTCTGTTTGATACCAACATCAAAATCTCATTAGATGAGTCGATATCGTGACGTTGCACGTACAACAGAGCACACTCAAGAGTCGATAAAGGAACATATGTATTAGCGAGTCACCAAATTCACGAATGTACTAGAATGTTAACATACCCACGTGGTAACTAGAGATTAAATAACCCACGTGGTTACTAGACAGTTTACAATTCCGTGTGTTTACTAAAGGGTTAACAATGTCAGCAATTACTAATGAGATAACATCGTAATGTCTTTTGTTACAGTTATTGTCAATAGGTAAACTGTGGACACTATCACATTCCACTGGTCATTGTCTGTTACAAATGCAGTAGACCAAGAGTCTTACCGTCCGCAGTCTCACTTCCGGGTATGTCTGCATCGCTGTCTTCACTTGAGACCAGATCGGCCATACTGTTACACTAGGCTATGTTATATATGCCACATATACGACTCGTGACATAGAATTTGTTGAAGTATCATCCTCACCAATGGATAGAGTTCGTAGCGTCACACTTCAGTACGTACAGGTTATAAATAGACTCAAATTAACGATACACAGTATGGTCGTTTTTCCGTACCCATATCGCCAACTGAAAATGAAACCCCGATTGAACTATACTGAGAAATGAGTTACCTATTCCGGGTAGGTATGCGTCACCGTTTACATGAAGCACAAGCGGGATCGGTTAAAGGAAAGATGGAAGAACACATGAGATTATTGAGGAAGCTACTGCCTGGTATGCACTTAACGAAGAAAAATAAAATTTCATTTCACTTCAAGATGTTGAGATTTGATTTGGAAATCCAATGCTTTAGCCTTGCTTGAATTATTGTATTCTATTGTTGAAACAAAATATTTATTATTATCGAATAAAGGGATGTATACGAACTTTTGAAATTTGTGGAATTTTATTTTAAAAAACGATAAAAATTGAAAGATAAGTAGTTATGAAAATGATGGTTTAGCTTTTTCTCATGGAAAATAATACCAGTCCCTTTTCAATTTGATTAATCATAATGCAATACATATTAACAGTGATATCACATAATCTGGCCACCTAACAATGTCCCAGGGTACCATTTAAGTTAATTCAACAGTGATATCACATAATCTGGCCACCTAACAATGTCCCAGGGTACCATTTAAGTTAATTCAACAGTGATATCACATAATCTGGCCATCTAACAATGTCCCAGGGTACCATTTAAGTTAATTCAACAGTGATATCACATAATCTGGCCATCTAACAATGTCCCAGGGTACCATTTAAGTTAATTCAACAGTGATATCACATATTCTGGCCATCTTTAAGCTGGCTTAAATGTGTATGTGCGTGTAACCGGTACATATGGACAGTGAGAATGATGTGTATGGAGAATGAGAGCCCTCCTGTGACAGTGTGAATGATGTGTTTGGAGAATGAGGGCCCTCCTGTGACAGTGTGAATGATGTGTGTGGAGAATGACGGCCCGCCTAAGAGAAAATAAGTCTTATAATGGCACATATGTGTCTTAGTTAATAAAAAAAAGAAAGATGGGATTTTTTTCAAAGAAAATCGACCATGAGGTGATATCAGTTCTCAATACTTATAATAACGTATTAGCTAGAGAAAACGAATGTACACTGTTTCAGCTGAATTTTAAAAATTCCAGTGAGTTTTTTTTCTCATTATCTCTCGCCGACTCTTCTGTAACAGCCGGAAAGTAATTTGAAAATGCGTATTTAAAAAAGCCAAGTTGTCCGTACGTTATGATATTATTTCATTTCCGTCCGCGTACAAAGTTCAACGATGTGCACACAGCAGATATACAATAGTAATATGAGGTTGGAAACGTGGGATTTGATTGGCAAAAGGCCGGGGAGAAAAGGGACAAATATCGGTCAAAGAGGGGTAACTCGTAGTTTTTACAAAATAATACAACGTAGTCAAATAACGAACTCATAACGACGTAGGTCGTGAAAACTTGGGAGGTGAGTGAAGAAAATCGAAATTCGTCGAATCTTGAAACCACTCTAGGCCAAAGTGTTTTTATTGGGCGAGGCAGTAATCTGAGATAGGACTAAAGGACAAACAAAAAATTATAAAAGTTATTATAATGGTATTGAAAATGTAACAAAACACGTACCTAAATAAATTTAAATTGGTGCAAGTAAAAGGTTTACATTCAGTGAGAAAACGCATGTTGATTGAATAATATCACGCTCAGTCAAAACTACACTTTTAATTCACGATCTCCTCACAATACTTAACCATACCGTATTTAATCACGAAACGCATGTCTGACGAAAATAACTAATTGACATCCATCACACCTGACGGATGTGCTCTGAACACAATTGTCTTCCCCATCCTAGAAATATATTTTCAAACTGTACAGGAAAGTTGTGGCTTGATCACGTGCCTACTTTTAAGCGGTTTCTGTTACAAATTGGTGTTTGCAATTTCCGAAAATTGGTGAGTTTGGATAGTACACCAATCTCTAGGACATAGCTTATTCTGAAGAACTGTGTCCTTGGCGAGACCTCTTGCGACTTTCCAGGGAACATCAAGCACTGCTATGTTATGCTGTCAGAACGTATAACTATGTCAGGTACTGGTGTTTTCACAGTTGTTACTATATTTCAAATTAATTGTCATTTGGCAATCATACATAATCGATACCCTATTCTTGCTGTGAGGACTCTAGTGATTGAGATCTATTTTTCTCGACATTAGATGCTGATAACTCGCTGTGAGGATTCTGGTGTTTGAGGTCTATTTTCCTTGACATTAGATGCTGATAACTTGTGAGGATTCTGGTGATTGAGGTACATTTTTCGTGTTTTCCCTTTTTGGCCACACCATTTACACAAAATGATGTCACCTCCCCACCAACTATGTTTCTGATAAAATTTACTCAAAATCCAGTGGTTTTGACTAAACATATTTTCTAGAAAAAATTGGAGATGCTGACAGATGTTGAACAGATGCTGCGCCATAGCTAACGATACTATGTCTTATAGGGTGCTGTTTGTTTATGGGTGATAAACACAGCTGACAGAATCCATCTAATAATAAGATCATGCTTGCTTTATCAGCTGTCAACAGGCACTAAAAATTGTAGACAATGTCAGTTGGCAATAAACAACACATCAACCCATATTTCCATATAGTAAGAATTTAATACATTTAACTGTCAATGCAAAAAGATTAAGATATTCATTAAAATTTCTATAGCTGCTCTTCGAAAAGAATTCTCAGTATCTTTCAATATTTCCTGGTACAAGACTAATCTTGCTTTTCACCTGTTAGCCAATAAATATTTTTTCTGATACAACTGACAATAAACAAAATGTATAATACAACTAGAGCCATAATATTGCTATGTTATAGCAAGGTTAGCTCCACCTCAGCCATTGATGACATAGGACAACCACCGTGGATAATCTGGTATGTCACCAGGGATGGTGTCCAATTAGAACACAATGTCAGCTCCTCTGTTAGCACATTTGTTGTAACACTAATAATGGTTTAGCACTTTTGGCACCAGCTTGGAGCATGGAATTTATATACATTGCTTATAAATTATTTTCATTTATAAATATCATTTCCAATAATAAAATTCTTAAAGAAACTGTACCAACACTATTTACTTATTGTCATATAGCAAAATGTGCCAAAATAATGTAATGATCAATTTGGTACACTTGACTGTTTCTTCAGTTCAGCATCATACAACAGTCTATCTTATCTAAACACTGTACAATATCAATGTAACGCTATAAAATAATTCTATAAATCATACCTAAACCTTTCATTCAAAACATCACAGTGTCTTCGAACTTGTTATACATCCACACACACACATGCACGCACACACACACACGAGCATAGTCAATTACATACTTTTACACACTAGCACATACACCGTCACACACAAGTAATCAATTCAAGTGTCTGATAACAGTAAGTCATTTGTCACCTTTGCAAGATTTCAACCATGTCTGAAGGATCTGAATTTGAATTCAGTTAAGACTTCTTGCTGTAAACATTTATAAAAACATGTTCCTGGTAACTGTAAACTAATATATTAATGGGATTCCATAAAGACCACCAATAGCCAGACAGAGATACAAACTTATCAACGTGATATTGAACTAAGTCACTGAGGCTTGAAATGTAGGTCAGTCAGTATTCACACAAGTGTTCAGTAGAGTAACTCAAGCTTCATTACTGATGCAGGTTTAATCTATGCGGCACTTCTACAAGTCCAATGGGGAAGGTTCAAAATCATCCCCTCTTCCAAATCTTTTATCTAGTCTGGTCTTCTCTTATCACTTGTCTTCTGGTGCATTCTAGATTTCTCAGCAAAATTGTAGGATCAAAAATGGACTGTCCAATAGCAATCACTCCAGTAGCCATTTCTAAGGAATTCCTATTAGTCCTATCATAAAAGTTGACCAAGATTTTCAATACCTTATCAGCTAAAACTTTAGATGTCTTTGATATTTCTTCTAATAACATATTTTATTTCCTATTAATTAACAAATCCTATTTTTGATGTAATTTTGAAATGAGCAAATTGGAAGATGTTTTGTTGAGTCTGAACAGTGAGTGTGCTCTTGTTAATGTACAAAGTACTTACCATATTTATTCTGAATGAAAAGTCAGCTTACCAATGGTGGAATGGATGAAATTACCTTTACCAGACTCACTACTTGTTAACACATTAGCCAAATAGTTCAGCAATGAATTTAAGCGGTAGTGATTATGATTTCTCTAGATGTTCTTCAAAGTTGTCTAAAGCTGTTAACTACTTCAATGATTATAATCACTGGTCAAGCTGGAGTTGCTCCCCTTCTTCCATGGTTGTCTGTAATAGCTGTCCATCCATGGCAAGGAGTGCCTGTACGGTCTCCAATGGGATCGGTTCTCCATCACCACCCTGGAGTTGCACTGTGCTCCCATCTTGGTTCTGTATGATGATGATTCCATCTGCAGTTTGGTAGATATTGGAGGCAGTGATAATGTGATCAGATGGCACCTGTATGCCCTCAACACTTTCCTCCTCTAGAATCTGGTCCTGTACTAATTGCACCATCTCCCCTGCCTCAAATTCTCCCGTAGCTTCCACAATGGTATCACTTGTGTCCATAATATTGTCAAGACTTTCCACCTCATTTTTAGACAGAATTGCACCTGAAGCAGTATCTAGGGACTTTTGTACGTCCTCTTGAGGAGAGCTCTCTTGCTCTTCCTCATCTACGACCACAGAGATAGCTGTGTCTTTCTCCCCATTAGTGGCCAGGGGCAGGTTTGACAACTGCATGGGGGACTCCTCAATCACTAGACCCTCTACAGCAGACAGCGGTACAGTGGCTAGTGGATCAGTCAAAGAGGTAACAATGTTTTGGTGACTGTTAACTGTGGATGTGTTCACAGATCCAGTTGTTTCCAACAAGTTTTCTACAACTGAATTTGAAGGAGATTGATTAGGGATTGATTGAATCACTATTGTGTTAGCTGGTGAAGACTGAATAACATTAGACATCACACTCACAACTGCTGGTTTTGATGATGACACCTTTTGAGCATTTGCCAAAGAGGCAAGGTTTGGTGGTAGTAAACTAATACCACCCACAACACTTGGTTTAATGCCCGGCTTGGACTCGACTGTCTGTATTACCACTGGAGTATTACTGGACTGTTTGCCGACCCCCTGTGCTAGACTATTCATACCTGAAGATGGCAGCACTGTGTTACCATGACTAGGTGCCGCAGACACTGTCACAAATCGCGGATGTGTTGAGGAAACTGGACTGACTGATTGAACGATACTGTCTATTTTACCAAACTTTTGATTGTCAAGCATTGTTGTAGTTGAAGAGGAAGACATTTTACCATTACTTGCTTCCATGATAACTGGTCGTCCTGTTGCTAACACAAAATTATTTCCACCCGAATTGCTTAATGTTGTTCTTGTCAGTTGCTTTCCAGCAGCCATTTTGGAAAGCAGCTGTCGCTGGGTGACATATTCAACACGTTTCACACGAGGTTTAATGCTGGTGTCTATACCTGTTGGATCACTAGATATTTTTCTATATTGGAATGTTGATAATTCACTGGCCGGAATCTCCTTAACCTCATATGTATCTAACTCTAAGTCTAGCACCTCCGCCATACACTTGTTCTCCACCTAAAACAAAAGAAAAATAGCACGGTCAAGGTCTACAAATTTGTCAATGTAACTAGGCCTAAAGCATAATGCTGATGGCAAATTTAATGCAATATCAGTTCTAAATGTTTAAAGTTCAACAGGCCACATTAAAATTACTTCTTTTTTGTTTTGATGCTGGTCTGGTGTATTTTGTGATGTTATGTAACTATTACATTATCAGGGATCATTAAAGCTTCAAATTTTACCACAGTGGATAGTGATATTTGCATAAAATCTAACACAATATTGAAATATTTTCCTTGTTGAGAGATTCTGTCTACAGTTTCCTATTTGGTCTAAAATGAATGTTTCGGCAGTTCATCCTTCTTCATAAATAACTATAATAAATATATAACAAGAAACCCCAGAGAGATCTTGGCGTCAACCTTCATTTTATCTTTCTTTGTTCTTTCCACCAACTCCCAACCTTCTCCTTTTTTTTTATTCCTCTTAAAATATTAGGATTTGAAAATTCCTCTTAACTGTTCAAATGCTAAATCCAAGATGACTGCATGTCACTCATTTTTCTGAGCAGTCCAAAAATCAAAAATCAGAAGGGTATAACCAGGGACAAAGCAGTGCCTACCTAAGAAACATATGAAATTTGACAAAGCTCCATTAAGTACTTAAAGAAACAGTAATATCGATCTTTCATTGTCAATGTACAAGATGGCAATCTGTCATCCCTTTTGTTCTGATGATCAGCCAAAAAATCAAAAGGGGACAACTAAGGACCAAGGGGCACCTACATTCGATAGCTGCATCCAGTACTTCCGAAGAAATGGTGTCAACTTTTATTGTCAACATTCAAGATGGCTGCCTGTTGGCCATCTTATATTTCCAATCAGTCCCAAAATGGACTATGCACAATGAGAGACAAGGCTAATCTACATATCAAATTTGTGAATAATTCATGCAGTGTTTCTCCAGAAATTGCAATAACAATCTATGACTGCCAAACACCAAGATAGTCATTTGTTGGCCATCTCAATTTATGGATCACCAACAAATGAAATCTGAGAATGATCTATTCAGTGCTATTCCAGAAATAGCAATAACAAGAACTGTTTAATAAGAAACCAACGCAGGGAAATTGGATTACCCAACCAGCTAAAAGTCAAAAGAAATTAACGTTTTCAGGCATGTTTCAAAAGATAACTCAAAGCTTAAATGATATATTCTTAATCCGAATGTGTTGAAAAAAATGATAAATTAGATCACATTTGTTTTTTTTTTAACATGCACTTTTGAAGAGGACATCTGCACTTGTTGTAACCATTGATAATTCTTGATTTACATAGGTTAATATTGTGAAAGAAAACACTGATGAATTCATCAATTCAAACAACTGAGATAAATGACAATGTAACATTTCATTGTGTGAAAACAGAAACTGTCTTTGGGATGAACTTTTGAAAAGAACTGCTGACAAGCTGACAAAATGAAGCCTTATACATTTACCAAAACCACGAACTGGTGATCCAAACAGAAGTCTTAAACACCTACAAAATTTGGGTAAAATCATCTGGTTATGATAGATTTTCAAATCATTGTATGTTTTTGTAATGTCTTTCCTGTCTCACACATCCATGTTGGTTAATGTCAGGTACAGATTATTTGTGCAGTTGACTTCAGCAACAGTCACAAGCAAAGAGCAATGCAACATTTCAATCCACTGTACAGGATGATGTGCAAGCTTTATAATAAGTCATATATCTCTTTACAGATAATGATAGTTAACATTTGTGTATAGTAACATTCTGAATTATTAGTGAATCCCAAACGTATCTTAACACATCCAAGTATTACAGACTACTTCCGTTAAGAGTATAAATCTTTATATCACCATATAAATCTTCCTCATTCTACATACCTTTAATTTTTTAACATTACTGACGTTATTTTCTGGGTTTGCTAAGGGCTTCAGATAGGTTTTGCAGAATTTCTGAACTTGTTTGGAAAGTGCCTCAAATTCATGGTAGATGTCGTCGACATGGGGGAGGGATGGTTTTCCCTTCTCCACCTTCATCAAGAGGAACTCCCAAAGTGTAATAACCTGGGCGAGGCGAGGTAAGACTACTTCCATTAATTCCTCATCCTCACACTGCCGAATCAACTGTTACAAATACAAGAATTAAGAATAGGATCAATAGTTTCTTATAAACTTTGACATTAATTTAATTTTGAGCCTTCCATCTGATACAGAATTTGTGACGCTGGTCATCTGACATCAAACCAATTTCATCCAACATCTGATACAGAACCAGTTTAGTCAGACATTTGATACAGAACCTATGTGGTTCTACAGGACCGGGCGAAGTCGGACATCACATGCAAAACCTGTATTCTGACATCTGGTTCAGAGCCTTATAGTCTGACATCTGGTAGAGGACCTGTATGGTCAGACATCTGGTACAGAACCTGTATGGCCAGACATCTGATACATACTGTGTGGTCAGACATCTGATACAGAACCTGTATGGTCAGACATCTGATACATACTGTGTGGTCAGACATCTGATACATACTGTGTGGTCAGACATCTGATACATACTGTGTGGTCAGACATCTGATACAAACTTTGTGGTCAGACATCTGATACAGAACCTGTATGGTAAGACATCTGATACAGAACCTGTATGGTCAGACATCTGATACAGGACCTGTGTGGTCAGACATCTGATACAAACTTTGTGGTCAGACATCTGATACAGAACCTGTATGGTCAGACATCTGATACATACTGTATGGTCAGACATCTGATACAGGACCTGTGTGGTCAGACATCTGATACAGAACCTGTATGGTCAGACATCTGATACAGGACCTGTGTGGTCAGACATCTGATACATACTGTGTGGTCAGACATCTGATACAGAACCTGTATGGTCATACTGTGTGGTCGGACATCTGATACAGAACCTGTATGGTCAGACATCTGATACATACTGTGTGGTCAAACATCTGATACAGAACCTGTGTGGTCAGACATCTGATACAGGACCTGTATGGTCAGACATCTGATACATACTGTGTGGTCAGACATCTGATACATACTGTGTGGCCAGACATCTGATACAGGACCTGTATGGTCAGACATCTGATACAGAACCTGTGTGGTCAGACATCTGATACAGGACCTGTGTGATCAGACCTCTGATACATACTGTGTGGTCAGACATCTGATACAGGACCTGTATGGTCGGACATCTGATATAAAACCTGTATAGTCAGATATCTGATACAGAACCTGTATGGTCAGACATCTGATACAGAACCTGTATGGTCAGACATCTGATACAGAACCTGTATGGTAAGACATCTGATAAAGAACCTGTATTGTCAGACATCTGATACATAGTATGTGCTCAGACATCTGATACAGAACCTGTGTGGTCAGACATCTGATACAGAACCTGTGTAGTCATACATCTGATATAGAACCTGTATGGTCAGACATCTGATACAGGACCTGTGTGGTCAGACATCTGATACAGAACCTGTATGGTCAGACATCTGATACAGGACCTGTGTGGTCAGACATCTGATACAGAACCTGTATGGTCAGACATCTGATACATACTGTGTGGCCAGACATCTGATACAGGACCTGTATGGTCAGACATCTGATACAGAACCTGTGTGGTCAGACATCTGATACAGGACCTGTGTGATCAGACCTCTGATACATACTGTGTGGTCAGACATCTGATACAGGACCTGTATGGTCGGACATCTGATATAAAACCTGTATAGTCAGATATCTGATACAGAACCTGTATGGTCAGACATCTGATACAGAACCTGTGTGGTCAGACATCTGATACAGAACCTGTGTGGTCAGACATCTGATACATACTGTGTGGTCAGACATCTGATACATACTGTGTGGTCAGACATCTGATACAGAACCTGTATGGTCAGACATCTGATACAGAACCTGTGTGGTCAGACATCTGATACAGGACCTGTGTGATCAGACCTCTGATACATACTGTGTGGTCAGACATCTGATACAGGACCTGTATGGTCGGACATCTGATATAAAACCTGTATAGTCAGATATCTGATACAGAACCTGTATGGTCAGACATCTGATACAGAACCTGTATGGTCAGACATCTGATACAGAACCTGTATGGTAAGACATCTGATAAAGAACCTGTATTGTCAGACATCTGATACATAGTATGTGCTCAGACATCTGATACAGGACCTGTATGGTCAGACGTCTGATACATAACCTTTATAGTCAGATATCTGATACATACTGTGTGGTCAGACATTTGATACAGGACCTGTATGGTCAAATATCTGATACAGAACCTGTATGGTCAGACATCTGGTACAGAACCTGTGTGGTCAGACATCTGATACATACTGTGGTCAGACATCTGATACATACTGAGTGGTTAGACATCTGATACAGGACCTGTAGTATGACATCTTGTATCAAGAACATGTGAAGTTTAGAGATCGACACTGTTAATATGTCATCAATACATGAAATCACAATTAATACCTGTTGTTATATTCCTTAATTCATTCAAATATTAATTTGCCAATTAATTCTGCTTAAAACGGTTGATGAGGTATCATCTAACAATATTATTTGTGGTAACTGACTGTTAAATGTGTTATATTTCCCCTTTGATATACCATGATGAATATAAGATCATTCCATCATTGGCCATCATACATACATCTCGCAGTTTGTTTTTCCGCTTGAGTGGATTTTCAAAGTTACGTCCCCGGTATCCTCCTCTGTGATGAAACATCTTGTTTGGCGTTCCAACTGAGGGGGTTCCAGAGATAGAGTCCTGAGTATTGCTGTCCTCTGATAAGTTACCCGTACTGTTACTTAGACCATTATGGGAAGACCTACCAAATGCTAAAACAGAGAAATCAAAATTTGATAAAGTACTCAATGCAGACTGAAACCAATAACGAAATGAAAATGTAAATAAATCAACAGTTATTCAGTGTTTGGTTGAAAGGTCATGATAACAGACAGGATCAATGTATTTTTATTCAAATTAAAAACAAACATGGGCTATAAAATGCAACATCTCTTACAGAGATATGATGCCAAGATACTGTAAAACCATTCATTTTCCAGGGGAATTTATTTTCTTCGATTTCGTGTGTAATCTTGATCCATGAATTCATATGTCTACAAGCTCTTAAAATTAGCATGAGAAGATTTATTGAGGTATATTTATCCACAATCCAATATCTACAAAAGTGATTTTTTGAAAAACCATGAAAATGAAGCCCCACAAAAATTTCACAGTCAGTAGTGAATACATAATAATTCTATATATCTTAATTTCTTTACTAGTTTGGCTGCAGCTATTCAAATCATATAAAGATAATTCCAAATCTTTCTGGAGTCTAAATATGATAGCTAATTAGCCAGAACTGTAGAAGAATCAGGAATATATTGAGTATCAAATGTTAATAAGAGGACAGTCTCAACTGCAATCCGCATCAGGTGTACAACACTATGTTAAAATGTATCTATTTATGTATTAAATTTTATTTCAATAATGTCTAATTCAAATCAACAATGAAAATTAAAAAGATATAGGTATAGTTTCATGTAAACGCTTCACAGGGATAATTAAGCAATTCAAACACACTAGAACTTTGATTAAGATTACTGGAAATGAAATTTGCTGTTCTGAAGGTAGAAGCAGTAAATGCTGCTTGCCATTTTCTGTTTTATATATATAGAATTTCAATGAAACATTGACAACAGAGGGCAAGATTTCGACATTGACAACAAAAGGCATGGCTTTAACATTGACAACAGAGGGCATGTTTTTTAACATTATCTGTCTGAAGAAATAAATTCACAACTTATTGGCCCAAGTAAGCAGTCCATTTTTTTTTCTTTTAAAAAAATTGACATACATTTTTGGGAAGGTCAGAACTAGGGCATTTTTGTACACACCTGTGGTACCGATATTCATATGAATACACACCCATCCAATAACTTAACCATTCTCATTGGAATCTGACATTTAATAATGATATCTGCAGTGAGCATATCTAACAACACGAAGGCCTGACACTACTTGGATACTTGGACACCTACTATGGAGGGTTTCCTCAGGCAGGTCATCAACAGAACCATGTTCTGGGTTGAGGCGGTAGTGACGGCCCAGTCCACCACGTCCAATGTATGATTTGTGACAGGTCTCACACTTCCAGTTCTTTGGGCGAGGATGTCCAACGCCTATTTACAATAATAAAACGAGGTTTACTTAACACATAAATGGACATACAGAAATCCTTACAGTAAAAAAATCTTCTTTGCATGAGGAGAAAGTTAAGAGGAGAAATAAATGGTATGGAAATATTCAACTCTTCAAAGAACCAGTAGATGGAAAATGGGAAAGGCACGAATTATCAAGGTTTGTTTGCTGTGTCAGTTACCCCGAGACAAACTAGAGCAATTTTGAATCAGTGTAACAGTGTAGAAGATTCTGACTTCATCAAAGAACGACAGACTGGAGGCCCATATCAAGCTATCAAAAGCAATCAAGGTAAGTTGTCATTGGACACAGTCCCCATGAAAGGATCATGGATTAACAAAACTTCAGATCTTCACCAGAGTTAGAAAATATATATAACTGTATAATGAATTGACCATATCAAGCTGATATTGAAGACAACACTGTAGGCATCATCTTAGTTTAAATCAAATAACTTACACACTGTCTACCTAAATTTAACTTTGCAACAGAGATATGTTTAACCTTAAATCAAATTATATCTAACTTTGAAAGACAACTGAAATATTAGCACAGAATGGAACATGATCCGTTTACAGGAATACATATTCCAATAGAAAAACAAAAGATTTATGCTGGATACATGTTTATCATGTTCCTTGCTAAAATTGATTTCGTAAACCACATTTCCTACCCATGTCTGCTACACTGGTGTAAAATTATTTATTGGATATTACCAGACCCAAAAATAAAACCAGAACCTATATAGATTATCTTAAGACTACACTGTATATTGATCAATTTTGCAGGCAACTGTGAAAGGTAAGTCTAATATATCAAAGAATTATTAACAGATATTGGTACTACAATTCATGATATTCCATTACAACTGCCAGCAAAATAACTTCCTTTTCTAACATAAATCTGTTAGTATCCCTTAAACATTTGTACAGTAATAATTATAAGCTAACTATATATAGCCCAGAACAGATTTAATGAATGTAAAAAAAACTAATTCTTTCCGAGTATAAAGACTTTCAGCAGGCCTTAAGTGTTCTGGACTACGTATTAACTTGTGATGGGATTGAGGACAGATTTATTTTAGAAGGTTTTGACAATTCATACTTAAAGGAGAGGTTGACACATCAGTTATTAAATTTGAAGAGTCATCTGGAAGGCTTTTGTCTAACCTTACTACAATCATACAGATCGCTGTGTGGAAGCACACACATATCACAATCAACTTGTATATACCAATGCACTTATCAAATCACTAAGTGAATATATGGCTATCAGTGTCTATGTGGGAAAGTTCTAAACAAAACGTGATGAGACATGGGAATGGTAGAGGATATAACTGAAATTTGAAAAATTAATTTGTAAACAAAATCTATCCACATTATCTAATTATATTTATAATTTATAATTAATTTTCAGGGAGAGTATATATAAATCATTCTTAGTTAGTTTGCATTGAATTATTTAACAGAAACAGTATAGTGAATTTAACATGGAAATGTGTGATCTTTCCTCTGAAAACTGTCCATGAAGTTAGACCAAATATGGTTAACAACGTGATTCATATGATTCGTTGTTTGTCAGTATTACAAAGGTGGGGAGACAGTGATGGTAGTAAAGGAGGAGATTTCTAAACTTTCATATTTATTCTTCTTTGAGGCCTCTCCTCTGCTGATTTATAGTGAGACAAGACCCATCAATTTCACAATTTTGAACCAATTTGCCCCCAAATTAAAGAAACCTAATACGATAAATATTGCCTTGCTGGTTTAGCAAAAAATGTAAAAATACACCTTTCCTATAATATATATAAATCATAGTAAACTTCACCCCATCCCCAAGGGACAACTATAGCTATGCAGTACAACTCAGACTTTCACAATTTTGGTTATCATCTTGGAAACACCTAAATATAGCACAGAAAAATTCCCCTCTAACAATAATAAAAAATTTCACCTTAGGCTACATAGGTCAATGCTCAAACTAACTGAGCTATTGGGACAAGGAGTGGTAAACCACAAATACTTAAAGTTGAATGGGGCAAGGAGTCAGAGGTAATCCACTATACCTAAAATCACATGTATGGTCAAGGAGAAAAAGTGGTCAGTCATACAACAACAGTTTGAAAATATATACCAAAAGGAACAAGAAATGGTAAGACAAGCAAATACAGTCTGTAACTAAAGGTGTGTTATTGATATACCACCAGAAACAAGGATTGGTAAATACCAGCAATACACTGCCAGTACTCCACACCCATATCTGTGATAATGATATACCAACACGAACAAGGTTTGATAAAACACCAGCAATACCACCTTCATATCTGTGTTATTGATCAGTATACCTGTCTCCATGCCAAGTGATTCAGATCCCTCCCTCTCTTCTCGTTCATCTTCACTGTATTTAAAGTCTGAGTAACCGCCATCAGAATCATCATAGTCCTCATCCCAGTCTAAAACATGAATATGTTTATAGTCTTTAACCATATGCTTGGGTGGTTTAGAAATTCTACCCGATCTTGTGCGTGGTCTGTGTTTTTTCCTAAGTTCTTTTTCCTCTTTCGATAAATCAGGTCCATCTTGTTTATCTAGATCTTCTTCTAATTTGCGTTTTTTGTATGGTCTTCGACTACTTTGACTTAGCAACACAGTTTGTTGTCCCTGTGATTGAAGAGTGATGGGAGTACCACTGGCACCAGACTTGTGGAGTTCTGAGGGATAGATAACTCTGTACACAATGCGTGTGTTTGTCTGAGGGTTGTAAAGAATACTGGAGCCTTCCTGTGCCGTGCTTTTAGCTACCTGTTGTTCTTGCACTACTTGCATGATCTGTTGAAGCTGTTCAGTAGTGAGGTGTTGTACAGGTGTATACTGGTTACCTTGCTGTATAATACGAATGGGGTTTTGACTAGATCCCAGAGGCGCCCCACTGGCTTGATTCACAGGTACAAGTCTCACAGATACACCCGAACTTGTGGTCACAGTGTCCCCCAGTTCACCATCCTCCTCCCCCTCCTCTATCGTACTGATACTCGTGTGAAGGGGTCCATCTTCCGATAAAGTGTCTGGTGGTTCCAACGCCGCCCCTGATGTAGTTGCATATGCTACATTATCACCATCACTGACTACAGAATACGTCACATTATCAAAAGTCACTTCAGTCGGAACACCGTGTGTTTCTGTTGTATCGAATGTCCCATCTGCAACAGTGTCGGCCAAGTTTACGGCAACAGCTTCGTCGCTTTGTGTTAAATTAGTGGTCACTAAATTGTCTGATGCTTCATCTAATGCTTGTTGTAATATATCTTCATCTGTAACATCATTTTCCGAGTTTTGTATACCGTCAGCTGCTACAATCAAGGTATCCTGGCCCAATACATGTGCACTAGTCATTTCCAAAACACCATTCACAGTGTCCGCCATGTTTGTTGTGCTTATGTTATTTGCCTATTAAATTTTCCGCGAAATTTATCAAAGCGGAACCTCAAATAGCCAGAAATCTCTCTTTTGTGTAATACATTGTTTTGAACATTTACGTCAAATACACATGTTCGAAATAATGACGTGAGTTTGAGGAAACCTGGAACAATATCCCACTGGCGCGAATCATTCTATGCATTCTTCCTGCGTAAAATCTAACAGTAGGTGTCGCTGTTGTCGGTAGTGTAGACCGACTAATGAACGGGTACGTAGGGCACGGAGACCAAACCAGTCCTCATGTGCAATGCGCCAGTGCTTTACACTGCAAATCAAGGCACGATCAATTTATTCGTAAATACGGAATTTGCTTTATATAAAACTATTAAACTTCTTAAGTGTACATAAGTAGAGTAAGGCATTTGATATTACTTTGACATTTTCAATATTATGACATGGAAATGTTAGTACTTGGCTTGTAAACATTTTGTGTGCACGGCCATGTGTTATACATGGATGCTTTCGTATTCGTAATTCGTATTAATAATAAATGTGAAAAAAGTGTCAGATTCGTGACAAAAAAAGTGTCAAAATTTATATCAATGTATTTGAATTGTGTTCAGTATCAAAATAGTGCCCAGCCTAATGTTGACGGAAGATATATATAAATTTATTGATACCGCATTGCATAATTGCACTTTTCTGATTTATCGGTTTACTGGTTGTTAACGATTCTGATAAGTATCGGGATCTGGACCATGTGTTTACCTGTACATGCATTACCCATATGTTGGTTAAATACCCCATATACTTATTACACCATGCCTGTTCAAACAGCCCCCGGTAAGATCTACAATGATCTTGTATTACACTTGAATGAGCGAGAGCAAAGTTGAAAAATATGTCATTTGAAATTTCACAATTAGGAATACTGCACCTCGATACTGCCATGACATGTTTCGGGGGTGTGTAGAACGAAAGTGGTCGTAACCCCCGGAGTATCGATGTTGGGAAGACGGACACCAAAAGATTTATGTAACGTCTAACAGCCTCCGCAGCCGGTAGACACGAAATGTAATATTTCATTATAATTTGTGTTACAACTTCCTGGACTCTCGTCTAACCGTTAATTCTTTAGAAAAGCCATAAAACTTGTTCTCTGGGTAGTAACAGGTGATATCATATATGTCATAGAAATATTTTAACACTAATTTTCCAAAGATCGATCCGGTTAAATATTTTATAATCATATGTTTATGTATTCGTGGTCCTTACATGTAAAATGTTACTGAGAATACTATTTTGTTGTAGTATTGTCTTCTGTATGCTACATGTATTAGAAACTTGTTTAGTAGTATGATTTTCTACAGTTGTATTGGGGATATTAAATTCCGCCGATTTACAGATAAAACTGGTGAAAATAATATTGCAACAACAGGTTAAAGGAAATCAAAGAGAACGTTATGGCATTCGTCCGGAATTAAGACATTCACATCTAAATGAGTTTTCAGTCTAAGGAGATTTTTCTTTAATTAAAACGAATCTTGTAAGTTTTCTTTCATTTTTATTTTTGCGAACCTTTTCAGCAATTAAAATAACAAAAAACACAATAAAATTCATTTTTCTCCTCTTCCAGCTTGATGGCACCATGATGGCAGAAGAGTGTTTTCTTAAAACATGTTTTCACGACAGTGACAATGAATTTTGGACCAATCTGAACAATAAGAACGCCTGTTTTGGGCCATCTCAGGATCATCTCAGGATCATCTCAGGGCCATCTCAGGATCATCTCAGGATCATCTCAGGATCATCTCATGGCCATCTCAGGATCATCTCATGGCCATCTCAGGATCATCTCAGGATCATCTCATGGCCATCCCAGGATCATCTCAGGGCCATCTCAGGATCATCTCAGGGCCATCTCAGGATCATCTCATGGCCATCTCAGGATCATCTCATGGCCATCTCAGGATCATCTCAGGGCCATCTCAGGATCATCTCATGGCCATCCCAGGATCATCTCAGGGCCATCTCAGGATCATCTCAGGGCCATCTCAGGATCGTCTCAGGGCCATCTCAGGATCATCTCAGGGCCATCTCAGGATCATCTCATGGCCATCTCAGGATCATCTCAGGGCCATATCAGGATCATCTATGGATCATCTCAGGGCCATATCAGGATCATCTCAGGGCCATCTCAGGATCATCTCAGGGCCATCTCAGGATCATCTCATGGCCATCTCAGGATCATCTCATGGCCATCTCTGGATCATCTCAGGGCCATATCAGGATCATCTATGGATCATCTCAGGGCCATATCAGGATCATCTCAGGGCCATCTCAGGATCATCTCAGGGCCATCTCAGGATCATCTCATGGCCATCTCAGGATCATCTCATGGCCATCTCAGGATCATCTCATGGCCATCTCAGGATCATCTCATGGCCATCTCAGGATCATCTCAGGGCCATATCAGGATCATCTATGGATCATCTCAGGGCCATATCAGGATCATCTATGGACCATCTCAGGGCCATCTCAGGATCATTTCAGGGCCATACCAGGATCATCTCAGGGCCATAGCAGGATCATCTCAGGGCCATACCAGAATCATCTCAGGGCCATCTGAAGATCATCTCAGAATCATCTCAGGATCATCTCAGGGACATCCTAGAATCATCTCAGGACCATCTCAGGATCATCTCAGGGCCATCTCAGGATCATCTCAGGTTCATCTTGGGATCATCTATGGATCATCTCGGTACCATCTCAGGATCATCTCAGGGCCATCTCAGGGCCATCCCAGGATCATCTCAGGTTCATCTCGGGATCATCTATGAATCATCTCAGGATCATCTCAGTATCATCTCAGAGCCACCTCGGGGCCATCTCAGGATAGTCTCAAGGTCATCTCAGGACCATCTCAGGATCATCTCAGGCAAGTTTGAGCCGAATCCCGTCCATGTAAGAAGTTTAATTACAATGTGTTTTATGAGATGGAAGTCATTTTGGTTATGGGTCTGAACACGTGGTCAGCACCACCACAGGGTCGTTCACGGCAAGTTTCAGATCAATCTCACCTGTGGCATTTGAGCAGAAGTTTGAAACCACGATTGCGCAATCATGTCTACAAAATAGCAATTGCCTATTTTAACTTTATAGTACCAGTGAAGTTTGAGAATTTTAAAACGTGTTTTACGGTACGGCGGCCATCTTAGACTATGGACTCGCCAGAAATATAAGAACACTTGTCCAGCACCATCTCAGAATCATTCATAGTAAGTTTAAGATCAATCTTACTTTTGGAACTTGAGAAGTTTAAAATTGGAAACCATGATCGCACAGTCATGTAAGAACACTGTGTCGGTTTCCTTTCCTTTACATCCCACCAATATGCAGCTCCATAACACCAATAGAACTGGAGACGTTTAAAATGTGCAGTTTTTTTCGGACCGAACAGGAAAATAAAAATCCTTTGTCAGGACCATCTCAATATCATTCCCACAAGTTGCAAGTTTCAATTGAACCCCACCGTTAGGACAGGAGAAAAAGACACGTGGAAAATATTGCGTACACGAATTAACTAGATAACAGGTCCGTCACGTGACAAATAGAGATCTATTGGTATAATATTTCTGATTCACTTATCCCCAGCGAAACGCCTTTGAGGGAGATCTTAATTTCCGGGCTGGCTACAAATTGAAATTCGTTCACCTAGTCTCTACGAAACTTTGTGTACATGTCAGGCTGGTGCCATGTTATTGGAGAGAATTCATAAATACTTCATCTTCACACGTGCTAACATCAAGAACGAAAGACACCAAAATACGAACTTCTGTTGGGATGTTCATACCAATAGCATGGCGCGAAGGATAATGCTGCTTAACAAAAGTTCCTAATAACGGACGTACATTGTGGCTACATTAATCTTACACAGAACTCGTACTGAAATGGTACCAACAATCATTTGAACAAGACTCGGCTAGTTTTAACAGCCACGTGAATTAACGAACATATTATATAAGATTATTTCGGATTAACGAACTCAAAATATTGACATACCATTGGATTCACGGGCACCTGCTGCTATGAATACCATTATGATTAATGAACACCACCTTGCAGTTATCTGAATCAACGGTCACATCACAATCTTAAAAAAAACATTCGAATAAAAAATTCATGAATTCAAATAGATATTTTAGATTTATGTATTTGCAATTCACATTCATGAAGACATTAGTTCATTTCTAACATACTCTCCTGAAAGGATATATACTAAGTGATGGTAAAGTTAACATCTATGAAAACACTGTCGTGTACATGATCCGGAGGGGACATATCAAGATCGTGGCAACGAAGCACAGCTTTAGTATGATAGCGCCGATATTCTGACTCCTTTTGATCCTTTAGAGTTATTTTACAGTTTTCTGCTCTGGTTTTTTCCCAACAGACGTGTTGAATACCAGTTTCGAAATGATGATCTTTACTGAGAATCTGAATCAGTTGCAATGTTTTTATATGAGTATCACCTTGACAACAGTACATTAAGAAAGAAAACATTTCGCATCTTATTTATACAATCATACAATAAATATAAAAATTGAAAATGCATTGAAACGGAGAGAGCATTTCGCGGTAAATTAAAACGGAGTGTCTCCTCCGTTACCACATGGCTTGTATACACACAAGTGAGATAGTAGAAATATTGGAACGATATTATCAACATGAATTATTCAGCTTCAACATGCACAGGGATAAATGCACTCTCAGTTTTTATCACACACCTACCTTCATATAAGACACATGGAGTTGTCACCTCTTCCTCCCTTCAGATTTCCAATGAAGCTGTTACAATGAACAATAATTCACCTCCTAGTTAGAAAACTTCCCGATATCGATCAAAGACGAGAGATCCCAGAGGGATCTTGGCGCCCACCATTTTTTATCTTTATTTGCTACTTGAAAGTTGGATCTCTTCCCTTCTATACTCTTCTCTTTTCATGTTTTTGCTCTTAATGATAAGATATTTGAACATTCCTTCGCAGAAATAGCGATGATAATTTTTACCTGCCAAATCCAAAATGGCTGCCTGGAAGCCATTTTCGTTCTTCTGATCAGCTCCAAAATCAAACGAGCACAAGGAGAAAGTAAAGGGAGCATACGTATGAAATTTGTGAGATGTTCATTCGGTACTTCTTAAGAAATAGGAATAACGATCTT